CCTCTCCTCCATCTCCTTCTGCTGCTCCTTCTCCTCCCTCCCTACTCATAGCCACTTCTGCTTTGGCTACTGTTTGTTAATGATGACTTTGGGTTACTGTTGTTGTTGTTGTTGTTGTTGCTGCTATGCCTTGCAGCAATGTCTTCGTCATCGTCGGAGCTGCACAGTGGAGTGCATCGACCATGATTGGGCTTTAATTATGCTGAGAATTACCTGTAAATAAAAGACAGCAAATTTAACATTAATATTAATAATATTAATGCTACTGGAATATAAGAAAATATTTAATTGGCAAGCGCATACATCGATTCTTGTTACCATTTCTAAAGATGCAACTGAAAATAAAGATCAACCACTGTGCAACACATTACCCTTCGTCATCTCCCATCATCTTCTTCGTCAGCCGTCATCGAATTCGAACTCAAGAAAAAGTCAAAGCTTGGCCCAGGTAGCCGGAGCTCCGCGGTTCCCTTTCTCCCTCTCTCTCTCTCTCTCTCTCTGTCTCTCTCAAGCTCTTCAATCGATTTCGTGGCTACCGTTTTTGCCTTTCCTTTCTAGTTCATCCAATTTTAAGTTTCGTTGCCTGCGGCTACCCTTCGCCGCTCGTTTGCTGCTCTTCTAATAGGCTTCTGCTGGCCATGCCATGTTCTCTGCTCTGTTCTGCTGTTGTTATCGTTGTTGTTTTTTCTCCGGGTCGTCTGGCTTTCTGCCTGATTGATTTTCAGCTTATGGATCTGGTTACGTACATTGGTTCTTAGTCGCTTCGCGTTCGCATTATCTACATTGTTGCTCAAAGGCGAAGTCGAAGCTGCAGCTGGAGCCCCGTGTTGTCGTGGCTGATTCCTTTAAATTACTTTAATTGATGGCCTGCAATTGCCCCCCACCAGCTCCAGCTCAATGGTTTCTTTTCATTGCTCTCCACTCACAATCTGTCGTGCATGAAATCGGTCTCCTGCCAGCGGAGATCTTAGCTCTGGCTGTGCTCCACTTTCCCAGCTACGATCTAACCATTTTCCAATCTCCAATTTCCAATAGCCAACGACTGTTTGGGGTTCAAATAGATTAAGTGATCTTTTGTCTATTCTGTCTCTCTCTCTCTCTCTTTTCAGTGCTTGAATTGACACGAGCAAAACATAGAATTATCATCGCTGGAATCGGATTAGAACGGCTCAGAACGGGTCACATCGAATCGATTCGTAGCAAAGTTTCGCTTGTTCTGATTAAATGTTCGTTACAGATTGCGGGGAAAACTTTAGCCAAATATTTCACTATAAATTCCTTAACCAAGTAGACCTAAAACTGGTTTGATCTTTTAGCTCATTGTACCCCTGGATGGGTTACTCCTTTATCTGCCATTGTTTTTCGCCTTCAAAGCACTTTTCCAGCTCATTAAATCCGAGCCGAAGTCAGCGCAGGGACATCGCCTCGGCCAGCAGCTGTCAATGGGATGGATGGGCCAGCCTCAGTTTCATTCTGATCCTGCCTGCCTGGTCAATGTAGGCATATTGTGGTCGTAAATCAGCAATGGAGAGTGGCCCTTGTGGCCCCACTGACACCTTTTTGTCCACCGGCAAATGCGTCGACAAGTCGACAAGGCAAGGCAAGGCAGGGCAGGGCAGGGCCAGGCAAGGCAATCGCAAAAGTTAATAACAAACAGGGCCAGGGCCACTTCTAATTTGTGCCAATGAAAGGGATAATAAAACTGGAAATGAAACTGGAATTGGAACTGGAAGTGGAAGTGGATGTGGAAGTCGAAGCGGAGGCAGCAACTGTACCACCATGGGCGGAGGACACAATGCGAAGGACGGACGGACGGACGGGACGAGCGAGGACAAAGGCGAGGCAGTGCGCATATTGAAACCGGAAATAGTCGAACCAAGTGCCAGGCAACCGACTGACGCACTGACACACATTTCGCAAACAAAGGACAAAGGACACTGGAAACGCACAGGGAACACATGACCGACCGACCGACCGACCGACCAACAAAACAACAACAAAAAGGGGCAGCGAAGCAGTCGGCAAGCAGGGCAACAACAAAAAGGGGAAGGAACGGAATTCAGCAAAATAAAATACGAAAAAAAAGCTCGAGTAAAAATGCTTTTGTCCAGGCGGGCAGGAACAAAGCCCAACTAACCGCCTGTGGCGGAACAACCACCCTTAATGGCGGAAGGACATGCAGGACAAGCCCAAGACTCAAAAAAGCCGCCCGGCAACAGCAAGGAACGGCTGCTGCAAAGCACACACTCCTGCTCTCTCCCTCCCTCTAACAGAAGGGCCAGCGGATCTGGGTAGGAAGAGATCATAATAATGTGAGGTCTTGAGACGAAGGATGCCCAATGTCAAAAGAAGATACCTGCCACATGCCCAGTCCCTGTTCCTTCCCTTCAAGCAAACCGGAATGCGACAGGCGATTGCATCATAAATTCTGTGATCCGCTGTCGGACCCTCAAGTGAATCATCCTGGATGTCCATGGGTCCATGGTTCCCTTTTTTTTTTAATGCAAACGGAATGCCAAAAGCAGAATAAATAAAAATTTACTTATTTGCATATTATTCAGTGAGCGGGTGCGAAAGGATTTCGCCGCTAAAAGGATACTTAAAAAAGAAGACCAAAGCAAATGCGAGTACCCAGATGCCCTGGAAACAGCAAATATATAATAAAAGAATACAAATAAAAATATGTGGTATCATATTTCCTATACAAAAAGTTGATCCTCAGCCTGGAGTAAACCAAGACTCTTCCATAATACCCTTTGCTACCCTCTTGGCTTATGCAAAAGTTTCTGCTGTTCCCATGGATCACAAGACACCCAAAGCATACCCTGTCACTGGCGCATCAAATAAAGAGCAAAGGGCTGCTCTCCCCCTGCTCATTTTTGCGCTGACCTGCTCCTCTCTTTCCAGCTTTGTCGGCCCGCTCTGCTCCTCACTGCTCATATCTGCGCTGACCCGCTCCACCCGCTCCATTGGTTTTTTCTGCTCTGCTCTTCTCCACTCGTTCGTCTGTGTTTGTGTGTTTGTGTGTCTGTGTGGTGGCGTGATGAAGTGATGGACATGTATGGACACATGCAGCGTTATGTTTAGCATACACAATCTGGTCGGACAGTGGGTTGTAGGGGGGTACAAAAAGTCGTATGTAAATACGCACGGACTGACGGGGGATCGGTGGCTCGTACGGTTGTGTGTGTCCCCCCCCCACACCCGGGGCAAGTCCTTGCGCTTTTAATCATAAATAACAAAGGACACATGGTGGGGGGGCTCGGCTTTCAGCTTTCAGCCAACAAAAGCCGTGCCGTGCCGTGCCCCGTGCTGGCTGTGTTCTCCTCCGACCACTGACCAAGGACCAACTGCCCCAACCCTAACCACAGCAGCAGTAGCAGCCGCGATGCCCGGTTCAGGCGCTTTTCATTTCCGCCTCATGGACGCCCAACATGTCAATCTCTCTCTCACTCTATCGCTGTCTCTTTTTTCCCCCTCTCTCTCTCTTGCTGTCGCTCTGCTTGATAGGCTGAACCGAACGTTGCTAGTTCTCCCTTCCCGTTCCGTTCCGTCCAAGGGTGTCCATGTCCATGTCCATGTCCACGTCTATGTCCGCATCCGAGTCTCTGTCGCTGTAACCAAAGCACTGCGCAGTTGTTGCCCTCCGCCCCCTCACCCACTCCCCGACCGGACTCTCTCTCTCTCTCTCTCTCTCTCTCTCTCTGTGTGTGCAGAATTTTGATATTAATAGCTTTGGACAGTTTTATAAACGCCTTTCGGGGTTAACATGCTCAAGTGGTATTCATATTTTCCACTGACCGACCCGTCACTATCGTGTGTGTCAGTCAGCCTCGACCCGAGAGCCCCTGGCAAAAATGTGAAAATAAAACGCAATGCAAAAACCCACCGAGGGGAGACTTGACTGCGACTAGCGCTGAATTGTCGCCAGTTCAATGCACAATTTATGGATCAGCACATGGCGCTGGAACTCCTCATCTGATCCCATTCCTTGCTGGAACTTCTACTCCCAATCCGATGGGGGCTGCGGCAAGCCGGCAAACCGCAGGCAAGGAGCACTCCCATCCCATTAGGTTGTGAGCGCCAAAGTTTGTATTGCAAATAATTATTAAATCCTGCCCTTTTTCGAGCTGTTCCTGTGCGCATTCATGGGTAATCCCGATAAGAGATCTGCCACAACATATGCATCATTTCAGGACGCTAACTCTAATAGAAAACTTCGGTTTGTAGCTTCCCCTCATTCAATTTGATTGAATCTGAAACCAGGATTACACGGCTGTACAGGGGGTTGTTGCTCACGGGGTTGAAGATGCCGCAAATAAGACAAAACGCAGTTTCACTTTATTGCGTCGCAGCCAGAAATTTCCTTTTGGTTAAGTGGAGTTGGAGTTGGAGTTGGAGTGAAGGAAAAGGAAAAGTGCTTGCCGCAGGGTGGGAAAACTGCAAGCTCTGGCAGCGGTACAGTCGTTGGGTGCTTCCTGCCTGCCTGCCCTGCTTCCTTCTGCACTGCTTCCTTGCGCGTCCTGCGCAGCATAAATTACGCATTTCACTTCGGGCTCAATACCCAGCACTCAGTGGGGTGGAAGGGTGTATACTCTGTGTGGGGATTTAAGCACTTTCAACGTTATCTATTGACCGAAATGGCAAATTTAGGTTACATTTTCATGTTTTAAAAACAAAACAAAAAAACATATTAAATATTAATTGAAATAAAAATATTTTAAAAAGTACTTTCAATATAAAATCTTCTATTTAATCAATTATTTTTATGTTTAAGTCAAAAATGTTTGACTTTATAATTTTAACTCTCGGAAAAAATAAAATTTGTGATGCCAATATTTGTGTATATATTTTTTATATTTATTTATTGCTATTTAAGGTGTAGCTACGGCAAGCAACATGTTGCTAGAAAATATGTTGAGAAACTCCCTGTAAGCTCACTCCACCCTCTAGTGGGTATCGCCACTCCGTTCACTCCATTTTCGAATTCACTTACTTTTTTGTTGTTGCTGTTCCTCGGCTTTCTTCTGTTTGCACGACGCAGTTTGCTTTGTTGCTTATGATTTATGTGCCAAACACACACACACAGAGTTCCGTTCCGTTCCACACACACACCGTAAATAGTAACTGCAGTCCGCCCAGTCCCAGTCGCAGTCCCAACCGTTCCTCGGCCCAAGTATTACACGCAAATTGCACGCAACACGCGAATCGCGAATCGCGAATGGAAATGACGTCGCGGCAGCCGCCACTCGTGCGTGGAGCGGGGCCAGGGCCTGCCTGTGCGATATTTCTGTCACAGGGCACCCATGTCCGGAGTCCGGAGTCCTGCGTCCGGAGACTCTGCGTCATCCTTGGCGCGGGACATGCGTGTAAGTCGCTTATCGCCAGACTGTGCCTGCAAGTCCTCTTGTGGCTGTCAGGAGCAGGGCACACTTTAAATATCCTTATGCATACCATAAATACAGACTTAAATGCTAATCCCTGAATGACGACCAAAATGGCTGTTGAGTGGCCAAAAGTGCGTCCTGGATATGAATCAGTCGGCTGGCTAAAGTTATTTGCAGCTTAAAGTCCTGCAGGAGCCTCAGCTGTTTGTACATTTTAATATTTGCTCCTTTTTTCTGCCGGCCGGCCATTGTTTTGACAACTTAATGGCGACAAAAAACATTTAATATATGGCCCAGAGCGTGCTCGCAACTCACTTTTTAATCACTTTTCATGGGCTTTTAATTACACACACCCGCCTGAAATATTATGAAAAACCAAACGCATAAAATGCTTAACAAGCTTTTTCCAGGCACAAGGGACACCGCACACACAGGAACGAAAGAATAAAATAAAAATATACTCCCAGCCCACCCACTCATTTCCGTTATAATAATGTGTGAAAGGATATTAATTATGAAACAAGCGAATGGCAGGAAGCTCGGGCAATAAAAACAGCAAGCGACAGCCTGACCAGAAGCCCAGCACACATCCCCAGACATGCCCCCACAGCAGCCAGAGAAAAAACAAACAAAAATGGAGCCCTCTGGTGACGAAGCTACAGCTACCCTGTAACACTCGTAGAGCTAACCAAATTGTCCACCGATGGAGGGAATTTATCTGCCAATAAACGTTAAAATTACTTTAATTCCAAGTTCATTTTTCAACGCAACAAAAATCTCTCAAACATTTCCCACTAGGCTTTGGTTTTTGGTAGAACTTTGGTTGGACTCTGCTGGGGCAGCCGCAGGAACCATCCAGGATGTTGGCTTAGGCGAGGAAACGGGAGCAACATGTGCAACATGTCCAACGGAAGTGTCGGCCATATACAACACACACACACACACACACATGGACCACTACTAAGACAACCCACATAGGCCCACGTCGCACACACACAAATTACGAGACCGGGGCCCAAGTAGATTTTTATGTAATGTCGGTCGGTTATTGCTTCCATTTCATACATTTATTTCATTTCATTTCATTTCATTTCATTTACCCCAAGCCAAAGCCTCCTTCCCGCCCACCCAGACGAAGTTCAAATTTTTGTTTGACTTCCTTTTCGATGCGCATTGCGGATACCCTGCAAAGGGCTGAGGAATGCCGCCATTTAAAACATTAAAAAAAAATATGTTTAAATGCTTAAGCTTAGATTTAAGCATTATTAGCAAGAAACAAAATTGTTTTAATTTATAGTTTGACTTGCAAATGAAAATAATTGATTTAAAAATTAAAAATTTTGCATTTAAAATATACTTTTTCAGACATTTATATTTTAATTTCCTGCATTATATTTTTTTTATTAGAATTTCGAATGAATTATTCCACAAAAGAGCAAAAATTGCATCGAATTAAATTCATGGATTCATTTATAAATATTTCTGTTAGCTCTTCTTGGCAAGAGCATGTCCCCGTCGCATACACAAAATCCGCGCCCTTCAGCCATTATCCCGTTGTGGTTGTTCTTGTTGTGTTTTTTTGTATTGCTCCTGCACTTTATGTCCTGTCAGCGGAGTCGGTCGACCAGCCCAGTGTCAGTCAGTGCCGTCGGCGCCCGAGGCCATCGTCTGCCGGTGACAGGCGGGCGTCCGTTGGTGTCCGTTCCGTCTGTCCGTCTGTCCGTCCGTCCGTCAGAGCTATGCGTCAGTGGATCACGTTGCTGCTCCACGTGATGATGACAGTCAGGCACATCGAATGGCCATCCCCATGGCCGGAACATTCATTCCCTTGCCCCAACTGTGGCTACTGCGTGTAATTGCCGTTGTAATGTCGCTCAACGCGAATATAATTGCTAAAATGTTGCATAAACCGACAGACGTGCCAATGGCCAACGTTGGCCTGTCCCCTGACGTGTCCGGGAAGTTCGTAAAGTCCGAGTCTGGGCTCTGGGTTCGGTCTGGGTCTCTGTCTGGGTCTGGTTCTGGGGGTCGCACCAGCAACGACACTTTTCCATTTGAATTTAATTTTAATTTACGCCCAACGGCCTTTACCGCTGTCCGCTGTCCGCTTGGGCATTTTTCCCATTCGCCGGAAATTGGCAACGAGCAACGAGAACATTTCGCATTCCGAACGTGCATTCTGGTCCTTGGCATACGGAGAGTCCTGGATCCGCAGAGCCCAAACCAAATTCTAGAGCGCTGTCCGCACCGTTGAGTTAATGAGAAGAGACAGGCGAGAGACGAGAGAGAGAGAGAGTCAAACAGACAGACAGACAGACTGAAATTGTGTGAGGAGTTTGAGAAGTCTAATTGAAGCGGCCCCCAAGCAATTAGTCGATCAATTCAGCGAGTCAGGGAGGAATTAAATACATTTTGAGACATTGAGACATGCCACAGAAATGCGCACAAAATTGAATATAGGCTGGGGGGAAAATCAATGATTAAAACTGATTAAAACACTGCTTTAAACTGCCTCAACAAACGCTGCTCCTTAAGCCACATTAGCCAACACTTTTCCTATTAGACGAAAGCCCAAAAACTTCCCAAATTAATTATCAAATGTTAATCGAATTTTCCATCACAAATTGATCGAAACCCGCCCGACTGACTGTCTGGGGCGTTTGTGTGTAATTTTCCGCTGGCCAAGATCGTGTCTCATTAGGAACCACAAAGAAGAAAAGACAACAAATGAAACTTAAGTCTCCAAGTTGTATTTTGTTTGGAAATAATTTTCCAAATTTGGCAAAACTATTAACCACGCTACGTTAATTCCATTAGCATGTCTGTCATTGTCTTTTGGCTTTCGTATGGCCATTAAATGCGCTAATTAGTTGGTCAATTAGCGTATGCTTAGCGTATTGTTTTTGGCCCTCTTTGTCACAGACAGCCCCAGCTACCAGCCACCAGCTCCCAGCTCCAAGCTCTCCTGCCAACGTCATTGCGCCCGCCCAACTGTCGCCGCATTAATAAATCAGTTGAAATTAATTCAGTTGACAGCTTTTAGTCAATATTGTTGATAGTTTTTTTTTTTGTTACAGCAGCAGCTGTTGCTCATCTCGAGTGTGATTTTTGTGCGGCTTTGACGTAGGCAGGCCCACAGAAACTGCAGAAATGTCCAGAAATATAGAGGCAGAACTTTGCCCAAAAATGTAACAGAAAGTACAGCTCAGAGTTGAAGGAAACGTTTATTTCTGTGTCTCAAATATACGATCCGAAATAACACTCTTTGCCTGTGCTGCAAGTAACCGTTCTTAAGTGTAGATTCAGTTCATTGAACTGCGAACTCTTGGAACTAGTTCCGTGGTAGTTTTATCGTTTGGCAACCCTGCCCCCAGGTCAGCTGTTTCGTGTAAAGTGTGTGACACTTTTTGCTATTCCAAGTCCTCGCTCTTTTGCACCTCTGCCCAAAAGTCAGGCCAGGACATGCTAGGCACAGGCGGAGCTTCACCCTCTTCCCGCTGCAGCCGCTCCGTTTGGGCATTCTCAAACTCCGCCAACTTTTGCAGTCGAATCTGCATGCGTCGCTCCAGCTGCTCGCTGCTGCTGGGCTTGCGGCTGATGTGCAGCGAGGAACTGTTGGACTTCTCAGCGCGACTTGGCAGCGAAAACTGCGAGCTGCTCTCATCGGCATCGCTGCCCGAGTGGCGTCCATCACTGGCCGAGCGACGACTCCAGCGTCCATCCGAGTGCATGCTCCAGCAATCATCGCCGCCTGCGCCCAGATCCTGGCACAAGGTGATGCTCAGGCGACGACCGCGACACAGCAACTGATTCTTCTTGAGCAGCTCGAGCAGATCCTGTCGTGTCTGCAGCTCCAGTTGGGCGCTTCCGTGCTGCCGCTTGCCACGTCGCAACATGCTGACGGAGCGAATTGTGTGCTGGCCAAAGAGCTGCCGCAGCTCCCGCTCGCTGGTCTCCATGGGCAGATTGCTGACGAGCGCCACAAAAGGTGGATTGAGCGGCACATCCACCTGCGGCAGCTGCTGCGAAGGAGCAGACTGCTCCGAGATGGCATCGAGCGACTTGCAGGCAGAGTCCTGCCTGTCCTCGTCGCTGATGCTCAGCTTTGTGACGCTTAGAAAATCCTCCAAGCCGGAGGAGCTGCTGCAGCTGGACTTTGTTTTTTTGTAGCTCCGAGCCTTGGACATGATTTCTGTGTCTATTTTTATTTGAAGTATTTCCCAGGGTAGACTACAAGCAGCAGCCCGACCCCGACTCCGAGCCAAGCCAAGCCAAAATGCCAAGGTTCATGGATGCAGTTGTCTCGGCTGCTGGCAAATATCAAAGGTTCAGCCAAACAAAAACAACAAATGGCACTGGCCAATGCATGGGGGGAGTTCCACATGAGGCAATCGACTGGCAGCTACACCCATAATCCATGGAACAAAATTGGCTGCGTTGAGATACAAATCTGTGTGTCTGTGGAACGTGTCTGGGGAGCAGGCAGCGACCTGAAATATTAGGCCAATTATATTTAAAAAATTTACATTTTCCCCCCCTGGAAGGAGTAACACACCTTGGAGGGCAGGCGGATCTTGATGCTCCAGCGTGGAGCTCTCGCCCTGGAACGTGCAGCAGCATAAGCGTTCTGGGGGAGCCCTAGCCAAGAGATATTCATCTATCTTCGTGTGTCTTTTGCTTTTCTTTTTGGTTCATTTTCGTAGGAAAAATCTCGGGAGGGGCACATAATTAATTTCGAGGATTAGGCATTTGATTCTCGAGGCGGATAGCGACGTGTTCCACAATTCTTGTATCGAAGGGACAGTGGAACAGTGGAACACGTACGCTGCGACGTTATCTTGATGCCTGAAGGGGAACGCTTGGTTTCCATTTGCTTTGTGGGTCAATGAAGACAGCCAATCGAGATTCATAATTGGATAGCCACTGTGAACAACTTCAATTGGAGTGGCAGCAACTATTGCCTGCTGAAAGCTATCAAGAGTGAGAGAGCACAGAAATTGAAGGAAAGTGCTGCCCCTAAATGTGGCGTTAAGTGCTGCCCAGCAGCTGTAATTTATGTGCTAAATATCTCTACAGCTTTTGCATGATAAATATTATAGTTTTCCATCAATAATCATCCAATGTTGGCTTCAAATGTCAAGAAAAAGCAACGAAAATTGAGTTAAAGTGCAGATAGGGCAGAACCAATGCTGCCCCTCATTTATGCATTCAGTGCTGCCCATCAGCTCTAATTTACAACCTCAATTGTTTTTCAGTAAACGGCAGCAGCTCTTTGTCGCCCCAACGACCATTTGGAATTATTAAAACCCACCAAAAAGTGCTCTAATTAGAATACCAAATCAGGCGCCTCCACATTCGGAGGGGCAAGACCAAGCCCACACTTGGTGTGTGCGTTCCACATGAGTTGCCCAATAATTTGTCAGCAATTGACGGGGTCTGGAAGAGGGGCACGGCGCACGGGGCACGGGGCGTGGCAAACTGAAAACCGTCATCAGGTAAATGCAATTAGCTTCCCCCCAACCCGACAGGCAGACCTTGATTGATGTATTTCGAATGAGCTGCGCCAAGGAAAACTAATTAGCTTTAAATTATGTGGGCCCAGAGAACGCAGAAGCGTCAATCAGGAGGCACTGCCTCAAGTGGCTTATTAATTAATCAATTTAGTTGGGGGAATCGAACAACTAAGTTAAGTTTGGTTCAATGAAGCCAGAATGGCAGCGGATAGAGGCAACAAATGGTGGCTAAAGGATTGGCATAAAATTCCACTCAAAACTTTGCACAATTCTGGCACTTCTGCCAGTGCTTTCCCTCTGCAGACTTTCCCCCAAGAGTTTGACAAATGCTTGGCCTGTGCCTGCCTGATATGCCGACATTTATCAATCCCAAGCCGGGTTCCGATATCCATTTCGATCCACCGGGCAGGCAGACAGGCAGGCAATAAAAATGACTTTCGCAACGGTTATCAATAATCAGGCAGCGATATTTTATGAAAATTGATGCGCCACACCGCACAGACGGAGGAAATACAAATAAATAATAATATCCATTATTAGAGGTTATCCCGTGGCCAAATAGTTGTCCTGCTGCCTCGTGTCCTGTTGGATCGATGCCACTCATCAGCGAACTAATCCGTCAAAATTTATTGCAGGATTCCCAGGGTGAGGGTGGAGGTTGCTGGCTGCTGGCTGCTGGCTGCTGCGGGGCGCCTGCCAATTGATAACGTGCGTGTGAAATTTATCAAATAAATTGTGGCCATAAATGTCAAGAGATGCGCGATGATTCATAGACACACAGGCAGAGGGGGATTGCTTATAAGCCAGCTTCCGCTTGTGGGCTGAAAAGCAGTGCAAAAGTCAAACCGGAATTGGTTTTAGCTGCAAACAAATTCGAGTGATGTCTGCTCCCCATTTATTAAAAAGCCATTCCAAAAATTAAGCCGCAAATTACGATTTGCATTGCCATTTCTTTGTTGCTTTTTTTTTTTGCATTCTCACTCCCACGATTGTGCGTAATCAGAAAGCGTAGAGAGCGACTGTAGCGGAGCTCTCCCCTCTCTCTCTCTCTGTCTGTCTCTGGGTTCAGCACAGCGTGGCCATCATTATTCAGTATTTAGCTTACTTTTTTGTTGCTGCTGCTCTGCTACTATTATTAAATTTGGTTATTTTTTTGCCTTCGAGTGCGCTGAGCGAAAAGGTTCCCTTTTAATTCTAAATTATTTGCTGGTCAGGCAATCGCTTAAAAGAGAGACGCAAAGAGAGCGCAAACGGCACGGACTGGGAATGGGAGAGCGGCACGGGCAACGGGACTGTGACTGAGATTGGGTTTGGGACTGCGACTGGCACTCTTAATAAAAGTCACAACTCCCTCCCTGGCTTGGCTTCTCCTCTTGCGTAGCCTTTGAAAATTTTAATAAAAAGTCCTTTTATCGCACTTAGAAGGCCATTTAGTAAGCTAAATTATACCCGGGGTATTATCTGGGCAAGCCGCAGTGTCCTTTTGTGTTTGCTTGTTGTTGGTCCTCTGGCTAAAAATCTGAATCCCAATACCCGTAAAACCCCAAAATCGTAGTCAAATTGGCCATGTTAAACCGCAGCAGCATTTGTTGTTGGACTCGACCCGACTTATCTCTCTCTCTCTCTCGGATCAGGGAATCGAGTGGAGTGGAGCACCGGCAAAACGTAAACTTGCCACAAATTGGCCAACTTGCTGCTGCTGCTCCATGGCTGCTGCTCCTATTGCTGATGATGTTGTAGTTGCTGGCTGCATAAGTCCAATTTATTTTTTGTTTTTACTTCAAAGAGGCAGCAAGCAAAACCAAATCGAATTAAGCTAAAATCTACATAAGCTTTTACTCTCTCTCTCTCTCTCTCTCTATGTGTGTGTGTGTGTGTTTGAGTGTGGGGTACAGTGGTAACACCTAAGAGAGTGTTGAGTGTTTGGGCAGTGACTATTTCCATGAAAAAGGATTATCCACTTAAATATCACTAAACTAAACTTTAAATTAAAAACTTTCCCTCACTTCTACACTGTTTTGTCCCACTGTGCGCTGAGCGCTTCCTGATTGTTCCTCTGCCGCTGCCGCCGCGCACACTTTGGTCCATTTTCTGGGGCATGAATTACATTTCTCTTTGCATTTCGCTTTGTTGCTGTTGCTGTTGTTGCTGCTGCTGCTGTTTTCCATTTTTATTTCGGTTTTTCCTCTTTTATTCCCTCTTTTTTGTAGCTGTTTTTTTCTAAATGCTAATTTATGGGCATGTGTGTTGCCATTTGGTTGCCGTTGGGTAATTTTAGTGCCCAACGAAACACACACACACACACGGAGCAAAAAACATACCGAAACATACAACAAACAAACAGCAACAAAGCAGCATCGGAGAGGGAAGAGTTCGAAGAGTGGTGTGGGAAGAGGGAAGAGTTCGAAGAGCGTAGAGGGAAGAGGGAAGAGAGGCTGGAGCGAAGAGCGAACACAAAACCGAAAACAGGAAGTGCAGCGAAAAGCGAAAATAAAAACTAAAGTAAATTGCATATTTATGAATCTGTCAATTGTTAATACTTTTATGTATTTTTGCTGCTGCTTCCCCCCGCCACACCCCTAACATATGATTCTGCATTTCTGCACCTCTCGCCTGACTTTTCGTTTGCATTCTTGCATGAAAAACGCCCCGACCCCGCCCAGTCTCTGCCTGACTGACGGAATGACCCCTGTCCAGCTCCCATTCCACTGCCACCCTCAGTGTCTGTGCAGAACAGACAAAACAAAACGCATTATAACCAAACAGCAAACAGCGACAGATATGTGCATTGTACATGGTGAATTATAAATAATAATGGACTAGGTGATACCCATTAATCGAGGCAACAGCCAAGGGAGGAGACAAGAAAAGCTGGCAAGGCTGACCAAAGAGCCACAGCCGCGATGTTTAAGTAACTTTTAATATTATTTAAATACCCCTACAAATAGCTTAAATTATAATAACATATAAAATATAATTTAATAATAGATTTACAAAACTCTTTTCAACATTCTGCATGAATGGTACCAATATGCCCACGCCTCACCTAAAATACCCTGCATAAGGAGAAGAGTAAGAGAAGCAGAGCAAAACTTACACCTACTTCCTGTCGATGTAGGTACATTCGTGCCATACACTGTGAGAAAACACAGCAGCCGACTGCTGCTGCAGAGATCTGTTCAACAACTTGAACATTTCCTTCGTTCACAGAATTTCGACTGACCGAAAGATGAACTCTGGGAAGCGGATAAAAATCTGGGAAAATGTTAAAAAATATCTGCACCTGTTAGCACGAATTTGATGTGGAATTTCGTGCAGTGCATGAAATAAACTTGAATCAATAAACAAAACAAAAGGAATGGCAAGGAAGTTTCATTCTGTCTGTCCATCTTGCAGCTCCCCGCCCCGCCGCGTCGGTCGGTTTTTGGTTCTGTTTCCCCATTTCAGGTGGAAGGCATTAAATAAGTCGAAGGTATAAACACAAACGGCCAAACAAATAGGGTCAGATCAAGGGGAGGGGGGAACCGGGTAAATGGTTTGGCATTGCCAAGGGAAACAGTCGAAATTCCTTCACAGAACATTTATTTTCGGTTGCTTTTTCGTTACACACATTGATTTCAAAGGCGTTGCAGAGGGGAAGGGGAGAGTGGGACTTGCCCGCTGGCCACAGGCCACTGGCAATAAACTTTTGGAAAAAGGTAA